CGTGAGAGAGAAATTTTAGGGGCTAGTGAGAATGATCTTCATTCTTCGGGCTAGTAGGGCAAGCCCGGAAATTGGTTGCACCCTGTTACCATGGCTCTTAAGGCTGGTGTTCACAAGGGACAGAGTTGGAGTCGTAAGAGCGCTTATGACCTAGTGGAAATTGAAAATCGGAATCATAAGCGGATTCATAAGCTCGACGGAATCGGAGTCGGAAGAATCAGAACGTTTCCATTTCTTCAGATTCCACTTACGACTCCGTAGCTTACGATTTAGTGAAAACTACATCGTCGGAGTCAGCAGCAGAAGCAGAAGAACCAACCACTCACAACACCCGAAATCGAGCATGGTGATTGGTTTACTCTTCCGCTTCTGCTTCCGACTCCGTCAATCTAGTTTCCACTGGATCGTAAGCGACGGAGTCAGTCATAAGTAGAATCGATATTCTCCTTCCGACTCCGTTGGTTTGATTCTCACTAAATCGTATCGCTCAACGGTTCTGATTACGACTCCGCCCACGACTCCGTCGCTAGTGAAAATCAGCCTTTTACAGCTGTAAAACGTGCATTGAACCGAGGATTTGTTTTGCTCATCAAAGTTTAACGATTTTTCAAGATTTACCTTGGCACAGCGCACTAAGTCTATGGACACTTCATTCCACGCATCAGCAGAATCCATGCCAGAAAATATTCTGCTCTGCAATCTCTCTGCCACAGCCATAACCTCGCTGAAAATTGGTAAGAAGATATATAAATAGTGATTTCAAACATGAATAAAGGGAGAAAGTCTCAGTTTCTTTTTCACCTGTTCTCTTACCGTATTGTCAGGAGAAATCTTGGTCCAATAAACAATTTTACTTACTGTAAATTCATTTATACGTAGTTAATAGAGGGTACTGGTTATGAAGCCTGCCAAACATCAAAGGCGTTGAAAGGCCCACGACCGTACACAAACTTTTGTTTTGCGCTCATACACTATGCATGAATTAGGTAACCTAAACGTTTCTATTGGTTACTTCCTCAGTACGGAGTAAACAACTACTGTGTTTTGTGCACGGTCAAGGCCAAAAGAGGGAATAAAAACATACAACAAAGAACTTTGTTGGGTTTCATACCCATTCTGCTCTATTACCTATGATTTATGCAATAATATGGTTGTTACATGGTTTACGTATGAAAGAGTGGCGAATACATGATTATATTTACAATCAAAAGTATTTTACGTTTTGCTTTGTTTCTTTGATTTCTTAGATCGCAGAGCATTATAAGCAGTTAACAATTATTTCAAGGTCTTGAAACGTTTTCTTCCAAACGTTGGAAGAAGAATTCTCAAACTCATTAATAATTCATCGAGTAAAAACAAAGGAAATCATGACCGCGACGGTGTTTAGCCTGCAAGCAGGCTCACCTCTGAATCACGTGCGCGAGCGGCGAAGAGCAAGGCGAACCGGCGGGAAGGAGTCTGGTGAAGAGGTGCCACTTTCTCGTCTCGCGGCTTTACCGCTCGATTTCGCGCAAGCGGCTACGCCGCGCAGGCTTATGCTCCAACGCGAGCCTGCTCGCAGGCTAGACGGTGTTTGGATATCTGATCTTAATTAGCATAGATTTTTACAATTTTATTTCACTCAAGACACTGATTGAACACATTTTCAAACACCTCGATATACTCCGCAGAGAAATCAAACACGGTTTTTCGTGTTTGATATATTACATCTTGGATTTTTTTGGTCCAAAGCCCTCAGAAGTCAAATCCGTGAACCTTTTTAGTCCAAAGGTCTTGGTAAACAAAGGTTTGGACCTTTTTTTAGTCCTTAGGAGACGAAATCGTAGAACTTTTTAATAGTCGTTTTTTTTTGTAGTTCAAATACTCTTCTTTATTATCCAACTCTGCTTCGTAGAGTACAAACAACGCGCGAAACGAGAACAAATATCACACGATATTTGTACTCGTCTCATTTCTCCTGGCCGTGTGAAAGGTTAAAGAACTTGGCAAGTCAGAATTTTGGGACAAGAAATCTTTGGATAATAAATCACTTATTAGATGTTTCGGTGTGTAGTATCGCTGTATATTTTTACTCATTGTTTGTATTTTGACTCGCCCTATGGGCTTGTCCAAATACGGCACAACTCGTAAAAATATACACCGATACTACACACCAAAACATCTAATAAGATATATTTATCAATGCACGCTTCACTCACCGTGAACTTCGATCCTG